ATATTGTTTTTTCTTTCTTCAATATGTTGTTCGTTGATAATACCAAGAGAATATTACAAATTAATATTGTTATCTTATTCATATATTTATCAACAAAAGAGAAGAGATAAAAGAATTCATTTTCCCTTTTTTTTTCTTTAATTTAATAAAATGAAGTTATTTATACAAAGAAAAAAAAGAAAAGAAAAGATGATATTAACTAAGAATTTTTTGTGGTGAAATCATTGTTAATGAATCTCGTCGTTGTGAACGAAATGATTTTCCTGGTAAAAGTCCATTAGGTGATCTTTTTTGTGAACGTCTTGTTAATATTGTTTGAGATTCATCTTCAAATAAAGGTACAACAACAACAGGACTTAAATTAGCTTGTTCAAATTTTAATTTCATTTCACGTGTTACTTGATGCATTGAACGTGGACGTAAATCAATTGCTGGTCGTTGACATTTTTGACCATATGAATATGTTGTTTTCGATGATCGAAGACGATTATAATTGTTATTATTATTATTATTATTATTATTATTATTATTATTATTATTATTTAAACTTGTTATAATTGCATTAGCATTTATAATATCAGCTGCAGAACGATAATTACTTGTTGAACATGTTGTACAACCATGTTTACAACGATGTTGATCACGTATATTTGATCCATTTGGTATTAATGGTTGTTTTGCTGAAGATGATTGAGATGGTATTGTTGAAACAATTCGTTTATAAAGATGATAATCTTGACCGGGTGCACAATTTCCAAGACATGTTGCACGTTTACATTCATTACAACGTAAATCACGTTTTAACTCATTTAATTCACGAATTTCTTTTTCATTATTATAATTTTTAGATGAAAAACTTCCAGTTAAATTTGATGTACTTGTATCTAAAGATGTACTTTTCATTAAACGATTATATGTATTTATATTTTGACGACGTCGTTGTTCCCATTTGATTGTATTAGCTTGTAATCTAAATTTGAAATAGATTTGTTTTTTTGTTTATATTATGAAAACATATGTAAATAGATAGTCTTATTTAATTTTAATTAAAAATGAAAATTAAAAGAAAGTTCAATTAAAGTTAATTTTATGTTGCTTGTCTTTACAAAACAAAAATATTTAGAATAAAAAATAAAACTATTTATATATGATGTTCCGATAAATGTATATCTTACCTTGCTAGTTTGATACATTTTTCAAAGACGGCTTTTGTGTTAGTACCTTGTTCAAATTTTGTTTTAACATCTCGATAAAAATCTTTTATATTCCATTCATTATTTCCATTATTTGTTTGTAATTGTGATTGTAAAGCAATAGCTTGATCATATTCTTCAGTAAATGGACTTTTATAATCATATATAGGTGTTAAAGAATCATATGTTAAATCAAATGAATATTGATTAATATCTTTTTGACGTTGACGAATAGCTTCTTCTTCTTGTTCAATAATACGTTGTTCAATTATTTTTGGATCTTCATATGAAGTTTTTCGACTAGGTAAATTAGCTATCGCTTCAATACGTCCACTTTTAGAATCACGATACCATGTACCAAAATTTGTAATATGTTGAAAATTATCAATCTAATATAAAAGATTCTGGAAAAAAATTTTTCTCTATTTCAAATAAATTTTACTTTATTTTCATCTTGATCACTTTCAATTGTTTCATTTAATTGTTGTTTTTCTCTATTAGTAGTTTCAATAGGTAATGTCATATGAGATAAATCAAGAAAACTATCACGACTAGTATCAAGTTGTTCAGGTACTGTTTCATTTATATTTGAACATAATTGATGAACAAAATGATTATCACTTTTAAATATTGATGATTTAAGTCCATCAGTAAGATTAAGAAATGTTGTATTTGTTAAATTATCAAAATTTCCTGATGAATCAATATAACGTGGGGCTCGTAATGGTGCTGGAGGTGGTGGAGGTGGTGGAGGACGAATAGGTAAAGCAGATTTTAGTTTACCAGTATTTATTCGACGAGGACGTTCTTCAATAATTACAGGAGCAGTTGTAGGTCTATTAACTTCAATAAGAGTTGACAAGGACAGTTTAACACGTTCAGGTGCTGATGTAGGTGGTCGATTTCTATTATCATTATTATCGAATATTATATTAAATAAATGTTATTATTATGTTTATCTTTACCCTTTTGGTACTGATTTTGCTGTTCCTGGTCTATTAACACCATTAGGTAAATTTTGATGCCAACGAGATGAAAATATTTCATTATTTTCATTTGAAATTTGTTTTCCATCATCACGTGTAAGCCCTTTAGCTAACTATAAGAAATATGTTTAGTATTGAAAGATATGATTTTTTTTTTGTTTTTTGCGATTCTAATTTTTTCGGAATATTAACACATACTCATAAGATTCTTTTTTTAGTTTTCAATTTACTATTGTGTTTTTTTTAAATCTAAAAGAAACAGTTTAAAGTATACATCAAAAACAAAACATGTTTGTTTTGAAACACAAATAAAATTTTACGTTCTAATCTTTACTTCTCTCCTGTTTTTTTTCTCTCTTCTTACTTGAAAACATCTATCAGAAATCGTTATCGGTACATAAGATTTTTGTATTGGCAAATATTTTTCATAAATTTTTAATTTTACATTATTATTTTTTTCCATTTAACAAATAGATATAATTAAATATGGTAGAGGCCTTCTTATGTAATGAAAAAATTAATAGATTGTTACTTTCTTTTTTTTTCATTTTGAAGGTAAAATTTAATGGCAACTTACCGCTGTCATATAATCTTTATTTTCTCGTGTTATTCTCGAGTGTTGTGGATTCCAACTGGTTGCTCTCTGAAGAAAAGAAAGAAATTACATATATATATATATACAATTCAAAATGGTACGAAAGTATCGCTTTCTTATTTGTAAAAAAAGCCTCGACAAACACACCTTACAAAGTATTCCAACGTCACCGGGATAATATGACCAAAATGAATCTGGTTGTGCTTTTACACGTTGCCCCTGAACTTCAAGTGTATCATTGGGTAAAACATTGACCGCACAAACAAGACCTGGTTGTTGCATGCTTACATAAAAATGTGTTCGACTTGTATGACCGTCGATCATCTTCTCAGTCTACTTTCAATCAATCTATGTATGATGGCAAACATATTTCTATTACAAATGAAGCTCGTTCTGTTAAACAAACAGAATAACTTCTTTTTTAATAAAAAAAAAAGAATCGCGATGAAAAACGTTTTGTTCTCTTATGATTGGACTTGCCTTTTCTCTCCCTCTCTCTCTCACACACTCACTTACTCCTTCTGTTTTCTTTTTACACGTGTAGATTTTTATTAAACTGCACATCTGACCGCGTCGTTTGTTGGAGTAGATATGTGTTAATAGAATAAAATTTTCATTTTTTTTTTTAAACAATTATAGAGACACATAGAGCGAAGAAAAAAAAGAAAGAATAACAACATTAGTAACTATGTTTTAAAAAATCGAATTTTTCACTTACAATATTCAAAATGGACAAATCATTGTTATTGGTATTGTTAAGAGATGCTAATGATGATATTCGTGTTAATATAAGTAATGTACGTGTACGTTCATGACCAATATTTGGTGTTGATGGTCGAGTTGTTGATCGAGATAATTGTGTTAATTTTTCAGCATATTTATTACTACAAAGTAAAAAATTTCGATTAGCTTTTGAATGAAGATGTTGATATTCATTTGAATGATTTTGACGATCATGTTGAAATTGTTGAACGTACAACATTTATTTGTACTTTCTTTTTCTTGTTGTCTCTGTTCAATTGTTATTATTTTATTGAAGTGCTTTAACTAATTTTTTCATACTCTATATAGAATAAGTATTAATAAGAAAAAAATCGGCATAAATTGATCATGCAATTCTCGTTCTATTACTTTGTGTCTATTTGTAGCATTCTTATATATCACAAATATATGAAATGACGTCTTCAAATGAAAGAAAATACTCCGATTTCTTTCTTTTTTTTTTTTGTATGTCGTATTTGCTTTTAAATTCATCTGCTAGGATGTCTTTCGTTTATTTATCGATATCGTATCGATGCTGTGAAATACTATTAAGAATAATAAATGAAAAGAATAGAAAGAGATTTGATTTCTTAAATCAATATTAAAAGTAATGTTGAAAAGTTTTCAGAATCTAAAATTATGACAAAATTAACATAAAATGACGATGAAATTTTATTAAATTTCTTGTTTACGGTGTTCTAGTGTTATGATCATAATCGTTTTCTTCAAGTTGAAGATTCAAATTAGAATAAATCGTTTTGTTCAATAAGATTATTAAAAGAAAATTCATTTTTTTTTCAATCGATTACTTTTCAACGCACTATTCAGATGAATAGTTTCTATTTGTCCTCAATTCAATTGTTGAACATTTCAGTATGTTTCTAATAAAATTGATTGTGTTCTGTTTTTGTTATTGTCAATACAATACCAATTAAATGAGTCATATCCTATTGAAATCATCTATTATATTGGTGTTACTCTTATTGAAAAGTTTTTTATTCTATAATAATCAAAGTTCCGGTTCAGTGCGTCATATCTTGTCATGAATTACTACAACATAAATGAATCATTTTATTGTATTATATGATATAACTTTTTCTTATTTTTCTTTTCATCTATTCTTTTGATTTTCTTATCAATTTCTAAATAGTCCGATTTTGAAAGCCAGACATATTCTATAACCAAAACGAATCATACTTGAATTTAATCAATTTAAAAAATCTGTAGAGATTGACATTCTGAATGGACATGATTGACATAGTCAAGTATCAGTCCTTGTATATTGTAGTCAATTATCAAAATACACTTATTTGTCACTATAAGCCTAGAGATATGGATAGAAATCAATATTGAGATGATAATGATGAATGCATATGACGAGAAAAAAAGAAAAGATGTTCATATTTATTCCAATAATAAAGAACTGAAAATCAATATTACAATATTTTTGTTTTTATCAAATTCTTAATTTACGTTCCATGGTTGAGTTATTTTAATAAATGGTTCTCGTGAATATTGTTTCATGGGTATAACACTTCCATAACCACTATCATAAGATTTTTTCTTCTCATTTTCATTTTCTCTTTCTTCTTCGTTGTCAGTTGTATCATCTAAATCTGTATCTTGAAAATTTCCAAATGAATTTGATATAACTTGTGTTTTACTCTCATCATCATTATCATTATTATCAGCATCATTATTATCATCATCATCAAGTTTCATTGATAGTTCATAAGTCATATAATGATTTCGACATTGACAAAATGTTTTCATTAAACGATCTGATTTATTATTATGATTTCCATAAAGTGATGAATAAACTTTATTATAAGGTATTAATAATGAACGATTAAATGTTTTATGAATAGAATCTAATGTTGATAGAACACGATCAATTTCAACTTGATCATTATCTAATATTTGTTTTTGATATTTTAAATTTTTCCATGTTGTTATTGTTGCTGATGATGATTTTTCAATATATTGTTTTTCTCGTTGTTGTAAATAAACTTCTGTACGATATGTAAAATTATTTGTTCGAAAATTATCATTATTATTTGATTTAGGAATACGAACAATAATTGATCGTGATTTATTTAAATTAGATAATGATTTTTTTTCATAAGATGGATTTTTATGACGAAAATATTGTGATGTTGAATTAAATTCCATATATATATATATATAGAAGAAGAAATATAACGAATTAGTTGATATGAGAAGAGCTCATATATAGGTTTTTTTATGATGATGTTAAATGTACATCAGCTGTATGTATCTTTTCGTTTTTTTTTTCTTACCTTTATATAACGTACGATTGCGATTGATCGTTACACATGAGAACACTCGCAAACTATTCTTTCTAATGATTGAAGAAGACAAGAGATAGAAATGAAAGACAAGGACATTGATAAAATACAAAAGAAAAAGGAAATAATTAAAATTAAAGGTAATACAATTAGAAATTTAATTATTATAGAAACGAAAAATTTTTGTTTTGTTTTTTAATCGAAAATATATAATTCAAATTTTCAATAATGGATTGTAATGATGAAATAGAATTGTGTTTGCATTTGATTATAACAAAATTATTCTATACTACATAAGAGACTAAAATGGTTATACTCACTAAATAGATTAACAATTAAAAAAGACCTTTGTATAATTATATAGCATTGAACATAATAAAAAAATCTCTTTCATTTTATCAATGAACTTGATTTTTTTTTCTCATTGTTAATTAACTATTTATTAATTAAAGAAAAAGAAAAGTACTTTTTTTTTGTTAAAAGGTTTTTTATTCGAAAAATAAAAAAAGAAAGGAGATTACAAAACTAAACTCTATAGATTAATAAATAAAAAGTAGCAAGAAAGTTAAAATAAAATAAATTTGAACTGTTCTATTTTAATTGTTGTTTATTATCCGTTTCATGACGACGATCATGAGATCCATCTAAACTATCAACTGATATTTTATCTTTGTCTAATGATAATGTTGAATCTTGTGGTAATGATGAATCAGTATTTTGATTTAGAGATGATTCGTCTTGGTTTTTTTTTAAATTAAGTTCTTCAATATCATCAACATCATCATCATCATCAGCTGATGATAGATCAAATTTTGTTGGTGAAATATTTGAAGTTCTATCATCAGGATATTCGTCTGAAATTTTTGTTGATAATATTTTTAATGGTTGTTGTTGTTCTTCATTTTTTAATGTTTTATCTTCTTGATCAGAAATATTTGATGAAGATATTGGTTCATTTTCTTTAGTTTGTTTATCAACTTTTTCATCTGTTTTTGATAATGTTTCTGTATTAGTTTTTAATAATGGTTTATTTTGTTCTTTAATTGGTTCATGAAGTATTTCAAGTGGAATTATTTGTGTTGATGAATAAACATCATCTGATATAAATGTTATATAAAGACGGCTAACTCCAATACGAGTAGGATAAAGTGTAATATGTAATATAGTTGATTCTTTAGGTGCAAATGATCGACTAGAAGAAAAATTTATGATATCAAGATTTAACTAAATTTTTTTTCAAATTGAGAGATATGTGATTTGATATATCTTTGAATTTAAAAAAAAACAAATAGTTAAAATTTGAGGATTTTAACTGATTTTGTTTTTTTATTAATAGAAAATTTCCAGAATGTATCGATTAATTGTTTAAATGTTCATTATTCAAAACAAAAAAAATTCTCATATGAAATATGATTATTAGCTTGAAAATTTTAAAACATCGACATAATTAAGATATCAAATAAAATCTTACTTAACAGGAACTATTTGATTAATACCTAAACCATCAATATAAATACGTCCATTATTTATTTGACGTGAAAGTGTATTAGCAATTTGTATTCCAAGTAATATTGGTTTACCTGTTTCAATGACATCTTCATCAAGAATCTAACAAAGAAAAAAGAAAAATTTAAATAAAATACTATAGAATAAAATAATTTACTGGTTTAATAATATCATTTTTATTAAAAACAATATTATCATCACGTGTAAATGTTTGATCAGTTTCTTTGATTAATGAATGTATATAATATTTAACAATAATATTATCTTGTTTACCATAATAAATATATTGTTGAGGTGTAATTTTTAATTGAATATTATCATCTAAAATAATTATAATTCAATTATAAAGAATAAATTTTTCTTTTTTACTTTTTCCAGCTTCAAGATTTAATATATGAATTGGTTGTTCATGTGAAAAAATTAATTTTTGATTATTACTACTTATTATAAATATTGTTAAAGCTGTTGTTATTGTACGTATTTCATTTGATTTATTATTTGCATTTAATTCTAATATAATATTATCTCCAAACTATAAACAAATAAAACAAAAAAAAAAAAAAAAACTATTTTTAGTTTCTTAAAAATGAAATTTTACTTCAATATCATCTGATATTTTTAATTCAATATCAACATCATTTTTTGTTCGTTCTGCTAAATTATCATTTCTATCAGATAATTTCTTTAAATTTTTATAAGTTTTTGTTATATCTTCTGGTTCAAATTCATTATTTAATGATCGTGTTATTATTTTAGTACCAATTATATTTTCTTGTACATCTAATTAAATAAAACGAAAAATTTTTTTTTTCTGAATCTCAAAATAATCAAACCTAATAATTCCATATAACCATCTGGATAAACAATCCAATGTAATTTATTTCCATTAATTGTCGAATGAATAAATAATGAATCCCATCGAAAACTTAATTCACCATTTCTTAAAGATGATATTGAACATGGACCTGTTCGTCGAATACCATCACACATTTGTACGGGTGTTGAATCAACAATTTGCCAATCTTGTTCATCATTGGGTAAATCATGACGACGCATCCAACATTCATTCCATACATGTGAAGAACTAAAAACAAAAAAAAACTATATATATATATTTTTTCTTCTTTGAAAATCTTCTTACCATATTATATCAGAATTAAGTTTTTGTAATGGTCGTTGTTTTGTATCCCAATGTATATCATTATTTTGAGTACCATCTGTTTGACAAGCTGTATTATAAATTGTAACAATACGACATGGAATACCTAATGATCGACTTAAACTACATAGTATAGCTGCATGTTGCCAATTATTTCCACAACCACCTTGTAATGATTGACAATTTGATAAAATATATTGTTTAAATATTGATGTACTACTTGTATAACCATGATTTTCTGATGAATAAATTTTTTTATCATGTGATGATGGAAATATTCCATTATTTGTACCTGGATTTGAACAAATTTTTGATGAAATTATACGAATTATAATTGATGGATCAATACGATTTTGTGTTGGTAATTGTGCTTGATCAAGAAGTGCCAATGCAGTAAGTAATGTTGATTGTTCAAATTGACCAAAATACCATGGTATTGATAGAGGTTTATTCGGTGTACCAAGATAAATTTGTCCATGTTCATTCATAACATATTCATTTATTTGTTCAGATGATGATAATGCACATGCATCATCTTTATTCCATGGATTAAAAAGAAAATAAATATCAGATTCAATTAAAAATAATGTAAGATCTTGTTTATTTGAAAAATTTTTATCATCTTTCTTCAATGGACGAACTTCAACTAGTAACTATGAAAAGAAAAGGAAATTAATATGAGAAATTTTTTAAGAGGAGGCACTCTCCCTCAACATATCCTCAAATTTCGTTAGTTTGTAGAGGAAATCCCAAAGGGTCTAGGGTTCCAATAACTCGTGATTTGGATGTTCTTCGACGGAGTGATAAAAATTTCAAAATTTGAAAAACTCGGTTTTTCCAGCTATTTAGATGTCAGCAAAAAAAGTAGTTCTTACCGAGTCTGCTACTCTTAAAATGCTTTTAAAAGAAAAAAAATTTGTTCATGAAAAGTTGTTCACTGGATTCGTCTGTATGGGATGGCATATTTTTCTTTTAGAAAAAGTACCGTTTTTCTGAAGTTGGAGACACCAAGATGTGTCAGAAGCTCGGACGTCCAGTAAACCATGAAAAATAAAGGTTTTATTGACACCTAATGAAATTAAAGCGTATTAATTAACGTTTCACAAAACCCCTATTTTTTATGGTTTACTGGACGTCAGAGCTTCGGATGCATCTTGCAGTTTCCAAATTCAGAAAAACCATATTTTTTCTAAAAGAAAAATATGTTATCCCATACAGACGAATCCAGTGAACAACTTTTCATGAACAAATGGGTTTTTTTTGAAAGCATTTTAAGAGTAGCAGACTCGGTAAGAACTACTTTTTTTGCTGACATCTAAATAGCTGGAAAAATCGAGTTTTTCAAATTTTGAAACTTTTATCACTCTGTCGAAGAACATCCAAATCACGAGTTATTGGAACCCTAGACCCTTTGGGATTTCCTCTACAAACTGAAGAAATTTGAGAGTATGTTAAGGAGTACCTCCCTTAAATTTATATAAACTTACATTATATTTCCCAATAATAGCATCAGAAGGAGAATCAATTTGAACCGAAATACGATTATTCTTCTTCGTTTTAATTTCATCATCTTCAATTGGAATTTTTCTAGCTGACCAACCATTACCACTTGGTGTTCCATCAACTAAAAGTCTTATTTGTGTTTTTTTTGATATCATAGATCGAGAACCTATTTGATAAAAATTTAATTCTATATTCTTGTATTTTAATTAATATACCTATAGCTAATCGTATACATAATTGATGTTGTTCAATATCATAATCTCTATTAAAGGTTACTGTAAATGAAAATGATTGTCCTCGTCGTAAAACCAATCCTGGTATATCATAATGATTTGTCGAATGTTCTTTCATATTCTTCTTTGTATGTAAATCAACATCGATAGGAATTAATCGGGATGCTAGAATTATAATTTCAAATTTTTCTTATTCATATATTTAAATATTCTGAATTTTTTTCTTTTTCAATACTGAACTAAATGAATAAAGACATCGTTTGAGATTGAAGTCATGAAAATAAGAATATACGTTAGTAATTGGAATTAAATTTAACATGTATTAATATTATATTAAATCTATGTATATATATATATATATGTACATTTTATGTAGATAATAAAAACAAATATACACACAAATAAAAGGATAAGTTTACATAAGAGAACTTTGTTATACTATTTAAAATTTTGTAAAATTTTAACAGATGATTCTCGAGAAATATGTCGTCTTGCCAGTACACTATCATAACCACTATCATAAGATTTTTTCTTTTCCTCTTCATCGTCATGATAGTCTAAATCTGAATCTGTATCTTCAAAATTTACAAATGAATTTAATGTTTCTTGTGTATGATTATTATCATTTTCTTTCGTTCTGAAATGATTTTGACATTGACAAAATGTTTTCATTAAATGATCTGATTTATTGTTATCTCCATAAAGTAAAGAATAAACTTGATTATAAGGTATTAATAATGAACGATTGAATATTTTATGAATAGAATCTATTGTTGAAATAGCACGATCAATTTCAGCTTGATCATTATTTAATATTTGTTTTTGATATTTTAAATTTTTCCATGTTGTTTTTGTTGGTGTTGATAATGATGATAATGATGTTGATATTTCATTAATATTTTGTTTTTCTCGTTGTTGTAAATAAATTTCAGTTCGATATTGATGATCATTTAAAAGTGTGGTAACAATATCAGATTTATTAATATGAACAACAAGTGAAGGTATAGATGAATTTTTTTCATAAGACAAATTTTTCTTAGAAAAATGTTGTGGACTATGGTCATACGCCATATCTTATGATCTATACCAAGGATATGAGTTTTTTCTTTTTTTTTCTTTTTCTTTTGATTATACGCCTACATATTCATTCTTTTACGCGCATCGAAAGCCCTTTTATCAACCATATCACTCATTTTTACCTATATTCTTAACGATAGGTGATCGATTGATCGATTGATCGTTACACATGACAACATTCGTAAACGATACATTTTTTTATAGTGAATAGGAAAAAGACAAGCGATAAAATGTATGTGAAAATGAAGCAAATTTTTTTTTGTTTAGTAGTTCGTTGATACAAATTACGATTTACCTAATTCAGATAAGATTGAAGGTCGTTGTAAGAAGAATGGTCTATAAGAAAAAAAAAAGAAATAAAATAAACAAAAACAAAAATAAAAAAAGAAATATTTTTTATTTTATATTAAAAACTTACTTTGATACAGAATTTTGTTCATTTGTATTTTTTGAATGAGATATATTTGACTCATTCTGAGGTATTTGAATAGATGATGGAAGATGATCCATTGGTATATTTTTATTTTGCATAGAATGTGATGCTATTTTATACTGAAACTTTAGAAGACAAAAAAAAAGAAAGATATATTTTCTTTCTTTTTATTTAATTTTCTTTTGATATATGGTTTGAAAGACGGTTGTATGTGTGTCTTTTACAAATGTGCATATGTGGTTTCTGGAGGCAAATGAATAACGATATTAATTAGACGAAAATTATGTGAGTCTGTTTACCTTTTTTTTTTTCATATCAATTATTTGTTGTTTTTACCTTCAACTGTACATAATAATGAAAATTTATAATAGGCAGTAAAATGAAAGACACGGTTATTAATCACGATGCACACTTATGTTTTATGGAATCAAATATTATCTTTATTAATTTCTATGTATCAATTCATGTAGTTTAGTTATAGACACCAGTCAAATTAATATATTTAGTATAAAGGTTCTTTTGTGATGAGAAATGAGTTTATTACTCATTGTTATTCGATATACACAGATGTATGTAAAAAGACGATTGAGTGAATCAATTACTTTTTCGCTGTCAAGATAGTTCTTAATTATGATTGTTATCATGAAATATGATTTTCGAAAAGAACCTAATACTTGCATTATAATTAATTATACTTATTTAGCAAAAATAAACTTGTCTGTACTAAATATATACTGATTTATGTTTGAAGGATAAAGTTTGTACGAGTTTGTATGTTTGTTTTATAGGAATATTTCATATCAGAGTATATACATGTTGAACTAGATAAATTTCAGAAGATATTGAATCATTTTTCAAATAACTTTCGGTAGAAAGTAAACAAGTAAACTTGTTTCTTTTTCTCATCATTGTGCTTAAATTCGATATAAATCTAGTATCTGAATTAGAGATATACGAGATCAAGTCTTTTTGTTTTGGCACTGGTCATGACTTAGAGAAAACTATTTTATAATTTATTCGCATTAAATCTAAAAGATTCTTAAATATTCGTACTTGAATTTTTCTTTGATTGATGTAAGTTATAACATAATTTACTAAAAATCATAGAAAATTTAACTAAAATTTTTAGTTTCTGTTCGAACAATTGTTTTTCTCTTATGAGAGAAGTCCTTCAAGTGTTAAATCACTTTTGAATCGAGACTATGTGCATTACGTAGATTGTAAACGAATATTGTGATAATAGAAAAACTGATTTGCGAATTTTGACTTGAAACTTTGCATAGAAACAAGTCTTAACGAGAGTAGTTTTAGGTTTTTCGATTTGCTTCTATCATGAAATCAAAACATCAAATCTGCTGGTTTATATAACTGATGTAAAAGACATGTTGCTATCATAGTTGTACCTTAGAATAGAAACAACGACAAGATCTATAACATTCACAAAAAAAAAACTTTTCTCGTTAAGGCTTATCTCAATGTAAAATTTCAAGGTAAAAATCAGTTTTTCCTGTTATCATGACATTTATTTAAAAAATACCGTAACATTGTAGTATCTTCGTAGTAATAAACTAAGAGCACGAAATCTTTCCAGAGTATTCATAGCTTATTTGGATCTACATAATGTATATACTCTCGACTCAAAAGCATTTGAAAAGTTGAAGAACTTCTTTCGTTAATCGTAATCATCAGGACCAAAGCTGATTGCACATATCTCCAATTAATCAACAATTCAAATGAATTTGAATTTAAAATTACTAATGTATTATAAAATTTTCTTCAGTTCGAATCTACTGCAATATATCTTCATCATAACAACAAAACTTGATCAACTTCATATAATCAAATCAATGATTCATTTAAAATTTTTTGTACATGACTATATCTAATAATTAAAAAGAATATTTTTTTGCACATATTCATATGTATATAAATAATCTGAACATGAGGATGAATAAGAAATACAATAAACGAAAAAACAAACAATTATATAATATACAACATTAAAAATCAACCAAAGAAAATGCAAAACACAAAAATATATATATTAGAATGAAGTTGATGATTTGTTAATTAATAAAGCAAGCATTGTAACAAGAAAAGCAATACCACTAATGGTTGAAAAAATATTCATTACTAATGTACGTTTAGATATTTTTAATGTTTTATCATAATCATGTGTACGTTTATGTTCACGTACACGTACTGATAATATAATACATATGATTCCAAAAACAAAAAAAAGAAAAAAATTTCCAATTGACCATAATAAATAATCAGGTATATTCATAACATCACGTTCCTGTTGAGAATATTTTAAATTAGCATGTACAGCTTCAGATACATAATAATCTGTATCATTTTGTGGTAACCATGAAAAACCATTTCGTTTTTCTAAATATGGTTCAAGTTCACCTATTTCACGTTTTTCCATTCGTCCAACACCCCTACAAAATATATAAACAAAGGAATAAAAAATATGTTTATTTATTTATTTTTCTTCATGTTAAGAAAAAATTTCTTTATACTTGTCACTCCGATAACCGGTCAATAATCGTCCGTCACGCATTCTTTTTTTACTCTCTTTCGAAATCCAAGGTTAAAAGTAACTAGTGATGTTGTGCGTAGATGGAAGGACGTGAATATAATTTATAGAAGTACGTTAATGTAATTCTGTTAGTGCAACCATATATTCTTCTTGCGTTCGTTTTTCTTTTTTTTTCTTTTTTTTTTTTTCTTTCTGTTTTTTTTTTACAAGGTTGTCATTACGACGGTACCATTACATTTGTTCGTCTCAAAAGTGTAATAAAGAAACAAGGAAAAAAAAAAAGAATAATTTTGACACAAAAATAAAATCAATATGAAGCATTTTCTTTTTCTTATCTCTCTTATCATTGACCTTGCAGGTGATGCTTTGCAAGCAGATCGTTTTTCTATTGTCTCTATTTTGAACCTTGACATTGATCAAAAAAAAGAATATGTCAATCTTAGTACGTGTAATATAATCGAAATGTTTATTATAGTTATATTTCGATGTCATTTATGGGTTTCTTTTCTTTTTCTTTAAAGAATAGAAAAAGTATTCGAATTGAATATATTATTCTTATTAATGTAGAATACAAAGAAAAATGATATATTTAGATGATTTAATAAGACAAAATTTTCTTTGAATTTATTTCGATTGAAATTCTGTTAATTTAAATCTCATAAAAAGATATTTATGAGAGTTTTTATGATTGCCTATATGACAAATATAATAAAAAAAAATAAAAATAAAAGCATCCGATAGTTGAAAATTTTATTCAGACATCAAAATCGAAAGTATATATATATATAATTTCATTTATAGATGTTGAGTTAATCAATTCAAAAAAAAAACAACTATAAATCTTATAGATTTAATGAGTAATGTTCATTAATTTTATTTCTGTTCCAAAGCAACAACTTGCCCTATTGAACAAATCAATTGACCTTTTATACTTTTTTTTCTCGACATATCTTCTAACAAAAATGCTTTCATAATAAAAAAAAAAAAGTATAAGTCATGCTAGAAAAAATTTATACTATCTGACTACCTTAAAGGAAATCAGATTAAGAGACAGACGTCATCCGAGATCTATTAATGAGAACTAATAACTGCATCAGTTTCTATTTTTACCATTAATTACAGTATTTATTTTCTTTTGACGTCAGCTAATTGAACCGTTACCATGGTGAATCAAAACAATTTTGTAAATGTCAATATTTTTAGAATTGGCATGATAGATATGAATCAAGCCGACTTAATTGAATATAAGAAAGTTTATTATCAAAAAACTATTAGTTTATACATAAACAATAAAATGGTTTAATATGATCAAATAACGGACGACTGGAAAATTTCTAAACAAGATGTATGTTCATTTTTGACTTGCTAGACAGTATCAAAAGCTATGAGTTAGGACGAGAATTTTGTATTCTTTTCAAATATGGACTAAAAAATTTTGTCTCACTTATTGTTCGAAGGTAATAAAATAATCTTTGAAAAGTTCAAAAAATTATTTTGAACAGAAAACTTTTGTATTTTCACTATTGTGATTCGAAAGTAAAAGTTGGAATGTTTATTTATATATCAGCTTATTGATCAGAAGTTACCCTATAAAATGCATTATTTCAAGTTTTCTTTCTTTAATCTTTCGATAAGCGATCTCAATTTTCGTAGTACTGATTTTTGAAAAATCAACAACTGTTTTACGTTGAAAGGAACTCTGGAAAAAATGCTTGTAGTCTCACTTCAGTAAAAGCTACAGCTTAGTTCAATATCACGTTTTGTATAGAAGTATGTCCGCTCTACAAAACGATCGAATCGGACAATTTTTATCATGTTTGAGAAGGGATTTGTAGACTAAACAAAAATCCGTTGGCTCACTATTCTTTGAAAAAAATAAACATAATATTTCTAAGCCCATATTCAAATTCTAATCGCGACGTATAGTTTTTGTTTCAAACGCTTTCAATCACACCAAAATGAACAAACATGTTCACCGGGAAACATCAACCTACAAGTTCGGTCCAAACTAAATATTTGAGCTTTTCAAAGATTATTTCACACACTCTCGAATAAAATTTCTAAACCTATATTCGAAAATAGCATCGTAAGTCATAGTTTTTGACTCGTTGAAAATGTACTGTAGCAAGTCAAAAGTAAACAAATATCTTGTCTAAAAACTTTCGAATCATTCGTAACTAAAATTTAACTATGATGAAATTCATGCTATCAATAGCTGTTTTTTTCTCTAAACATATAGAAAAAGAGAAAAAGTCAATGTGTGATGGAACATTTACATTGTTTATCAATGCACAATTGTTAAACATGACAAAAAAACTTTTCATAATTATTCAAAGGTATATATAATAAAACTACTCAATCATCTATGAGAACTTCTATCAATGTCTGAAACATACTGAATATTAAAAAAATCAAAATAAAAGCGACTATTTGAACAAAATTCCATCATTTTCTATAATTCAAATTGGATAAGTTTCAATGTCTATTAATAATTTTTGTAGATATTAAACTTTCAATAATGACTATTACAACATTAAAATAGTCTTTTATTTAAACAGTATGATTAATTCAATTCGTTTACGTATATATTCCGAGTGGAAGAGTAATGAAATTTTGTTTTATTTCCTCTCTCTCTCTCGTATTACTCATATTTATTTCGATTGAATAGTGAAAGACTCACTGCACTTCAACATAAAAGAAGTATTAATAATAAGTTTATTTATATTACAATAATTTGTTAACCTAACGTTTAGTTTTGTGTTTAAATCTTAACTTAATAATTTTATCAATATCTTCTTACCTTAAAATATATCTTTTACAATCGATACTTTGTTATTTCTGTTAGAAAATGAACTCTTTGAATACAGTATGATTGTCGTTCGATTCTTTCTTTTTCTTTTTCTCTATTTTATACGTCTCGTACATCGGTCAAGATTGTTATTTAGGTGAGCGCGATAAGACCACCATATCGGGTCAATTCACTATTCCCGCTCGTTTTTTCTTCTTTTTTTTTCGTCGTTCTTTAAAATTTTACATCGCACATAGAGAAAAACAATAAAAAAAAAGAGCAGTAAAATTCAAAGTGTTGTAATTGTCTCGGAAAAATAAAGACTTGGTGCAAAAACAATTCCACGTTTAATTAATGTCGTCACTTGATTAAGTTTATCAACTAATTCAGAATTTCCAACTGTTTTTCCTGCATTACGTATATCTGAACATAATTCTTCAATACGCATTATTGTTCGAACAATTGTTCCTTCTTGAATATCAATAATTTCCATATCAGGATCATTCATAATATCATAGAATTTTGCACCCTGTGCCCATTTATAGACTAATGACATAATACTAAAATTAAGTTCATCTTCAATATTAGTTGGAATTTTATAATCACGTTGTATTTGATCAAGTCTACTAGCAATTGCAACTAAAATATCAAAATTTTAAAAGAAGATTTATGAAACCATCGAATATACGAGGCAATCAACAAAAAAAAACATTTTTTTTACAAAAATTATTCGATACCAACTTTTTATCACAACAGTATATTTCATCGAATTATTCAAATTTTTTATAAATTATACTAAAAGATAGAGAATTCAAAACTGAACAAAATGATTGACTTAAGTTGTATAAGGTCAACACGAATGAAAAATGACTGTTTCGATGGACTCAATTTGATAACAATCTATCGCATGTCGGCAATCAAAATCAAAGAATTCCAAGCTGAGTTTTATATATGTTATGCAACTTTTTATTCTCTACAAAATGGTATGTTCGGAGCGAAGCGGGATTCATATTTCTCTATCACATAATGGTTTTTGATGATTTTTCAAGAGGGAAGAAAAATTTTTTAACAGTTTTTTTTGCCATAACTACAGGTTGTCGAACTCGGATTCAATCGGGTTCGGCAGCAGCCCGACGCACTCCAACCATAACACAATTTTATAGGAAAAATAAATATGACATTCGGGATCAGCCTTAAAAACTACATTGACTCAAACACATTCTAGATAAGTTTTTCTTTTCTAAAGAAAATCCACCTGTAGTTCCCTATGACTGTATTTTATTCAAATTTTGCTCCGTTGTTCCTCAAGTGTCAGTTTTTGCAGGAAAAGAATTGTTCAAAATGGATTTCACTTAATATACTTTTTGATACTAATTCCCAGTGTCAAACCTTTATGTGAGACAGAGATATGAACCCCACTGTATCCTGAGCATATCATTTTGTAGAGAATAAAAAGTTGCATGACATATACAAAATTCAGCTTGGAGCTCTCTGATTTTGATTGTCGACATGCGATAGATCGTTATCAAATTGAGTCCATCGAAACAGTCGTTTTTCATTCATGTTGACCTTATACAATTTAAGTTAGTCATTTTGTTCAATTTTAAACTCTCTATCTTTTAGTATAACTTACCAAAAAAAAATTGAATAATTCAATGAAATACCTATTGTAGTAAAAAGTTGGTTATTGATTAATTTTTGAAAGTAAAGCATATTGGACGATAAAATTTTGCGATTGGTAGTTTCAGACATCAAAGCATAATAGAAAGGAAAAATTGTTTTTTTTTTTATCTTTTATTGATTGCCTTCTATACTCTATGGCCTCATAATTGTTTTCTTAAATATATGTTTCCTACGACGTACTTAATTGTTGTTTTGCTTGATGTAATGCAGGAGTAATTTCTTTTTTTTGATTATCATCATTAATTTCATTATCGAAACGTTTACCTTGAAAAATAATCGACGATAAAAGCGCAGCTATTTCACTTGGTGTTAAATAATCAATTAAATTTTGATAAATAAGTTCAGTTAATAAAAGTTCTTTACCACTACCAAATAATGCTGCAACTTGACCTTTTAAACTTAATATATTTATATTTGTTATATAATTTAATTTTTTTAAAACTTCAAGCATTGATTCATATTCATATGATGTTTGAAGATTTGTTTGTAATGATAATAAACGTTCATTCATTTGATTATATTTATTTTCATAAAATTTTAATTTACGTAT